GTGACTGGTTAAAAGAAGCTTTGTTGTTTTTCTTTTTTTTCTTCCTTCCTTCCTTCCTTTCTTCCTTCCTTCCTTCCTTCCTTCCTTCCTTCCTTTCCTTCCTTCCTTCCTTCCTTTCCTTCCTTCCTTCCTTCCTTCCTTCCTTCCTTCCTTCCTTCCTTCCTTCCATCCTCTCTCTCTCTTTCTTTCTTTCTTTCTTTTCTTCTGCCAGTACTGGGGTTTGAACTCAGGTTCTGGGAGCTGTCCCTGAGCTCTTTTTTTTTTTTTTTGCTCAAGGCTAGCACTCTACCAATTAAGCCACAGCTTAATTTGGGGGGGGGGGTGTAATTGGAGATAAGAGTCTCCTGGACTTTTCTTCTGTGGTTGGCTTCATACCACAATCCTCAGATCTCAGCCTCCTGAGTAACTAGGATTATAAACATGAGCCACTGGCCCCCAGTGCCTTTTCTTTTTCTTTCTCTGACCTAAAATTCAATTCAAAACAAGAAAATCTCCATCTGTCCATTCTGAATTTTTAAAAAAATAGGAAAAGGCACCCTCCTGAGTGGACTTATTGACAATGTCTCTCTTCTGGCCCCCAGATTGATATCTCCTCAACAAGGTGGGGTGCTCTTGCACAGTGCCATCCTTGGTGACCACATGGGATATTTGCAGAGAGCAAACCCCATATGGAGCATCCTGACTCCTCAGTTCCAGGTTCACCGGGGCTGGATTGAAAAAATCCAGGTGGAACACTAGACTAGTGTCACAACCCCCTTGGATCCAGACACCAAAACCAAGACAGGCCATGGCCAGACAGATTCTGTGCATTTCTAGAGTCTTCAGACAACTCCATAGCTGTGAAAAATCAAAGGCAAAAAAAAAAAAGTGCCACCATTTCCTGTCCTTTGTGATCTGAGCTGTGAAGAAACCCCAGGACTCTGCCTCTGGTGCTCACTCCAACACCCAGCATGCCTTCTGGAACCTAATGATTTTCAGCAAATATTTGTCAACAATTCAGCAACTGAGCAGCTCCTGAACAGGTAGGTAAAGAAAAATGGGACGTCAGCGCTACAGGAAGCACCCAAGAGAACAGCCAAGGGGTGTGTGTGTGTGTGTGTGTGTGTGTGTGTGTGTGTGTGTGTGTGTGTGTGTGTGTGTGGTGTACCTTGGGGGCACAGATATGCATTTAGTGTGCTCATCTGAACTTGCGTGCGTGCAACTGCCGCCGTGTGTGCCTGAGAGTGCAGACCTGAATGTGCACATGTGGCCTTGTGTGTGCATGGTGAGCCGGTGTCCCTGCATGCCTCTGGGAGGTGGTGTGAGTGTGCATTCACATACAACCCCAGACTCGGGCAGGCAGCTCTCCAGGAGCCTTTTGAAACTGGCTGCTGTGCAAAAAGGACCTGAACTTACCGACGCTGCTGGCAGCAGCCCTCGAGATGGAGGCCTGGACACCTGTAGGGGGAAAGAGAAGAAAGAGGAGTCTGGTGAGCCACCTGACCCAAGCCTCTTCGGCCAGTTCTTCTCACAGCCAGCTAAAGCCTAATTGGATCACATGATTTCTCCATTTCAGACACCTTCCTCAGGTGGCCAAAGGACACCTGCTCAATGATGGGAAGGAGGAAGGGAGGGAGGGAGAGATGAAGGGAGGGAGGGAGGGAAAAGGGAAAGAGGAAGGAGGGACAGAGGAAAGGAAGGGAAGTGGGAGGGAGAAGGGGGAAAGAACAAAGAAGGAGAGAGGGAAGAAGGAAAGGAAGGGAAAGAAAAGGAAGGAAGCAAGAGAGAGAAGGAGGAAGAGAGGGAGGGAGGAAGAGAGAGAAGAAAGGAGGGGGCAAGGAGGGGGCGGTGCTCTAAAGAGAAGAGAGCTTGTATCAGTCCTTGCTGTCCTGGCTGGAGAAACAGTCCCTCTCATTCTTGGGTCCCCAGTGAGATCTGAGGTGCAAGCCCCGCTCCCCACCCCACCATCCTCTCTAGAGGGAATTCCCAGCTACAAACCACAAGGACTAAGTGGCTCTCTTACTTTGTCTCGTGATGGGGCCCAAGTTCAGTACACGGGATTTGTCTATGAAGCCCCCGCTTCGGTATCTGGTCCCAGTACAGGTCTGCGGAGAGAGGAAAACAGAGAGAAGTTTCCGTGAAGGAGGGTGCAGCCTTGGTGCTGGGGGTGGAGAGGGCTGCACCTGAGGGCGCGTCTCCTGACTAGGGCAGGAGCCAGGAGATCAGGTCTTGGTCTACCACTCCTTATGACAGCAACAAATTCACTTGATCTTTCTGACTGGTAACACGCCCCCCCACCACACACACACACAGAATTTCTGTGGAACATTAAGTTAAAAAAAGAAAAATACAACATGGGCACAGAATTTTAAGAGTGCCAGCTTCTTCAGGGCACCAGTGACTCACGCCTGGAATCCTAGCTACTCAGGAGGCTGAGCTTTGAGGATGGAGGTTTGAATTCAATGTGAACAGGAAAGCCCATAAAACTCCTCTTATCGCCAATTAACACCAAGAAAGCCAGCAGGGAGCTGTGGCTCAAGTGGTAAAACTCTAGCCTTAAGCAAAACAAAAACAAAATACTCAGGGACAGTGCTTAGGTCCTGAACTCCAGCCCCAGAACTGGCACGCGCACACACATACACACACACACACCTCTTATTAAAAGACTCCTTCATAAACCACAGAGCTTACCAAGCAGGTGTTCTCAGGTCCCTGGGCCCTGTGGATTTCCCCACAGCTCAGGTGTCCCACCTGACCCCACCTACCCCTCCCCTTGGTTCCTGGCTCTGGTCATACCTGGCTGGGGTCATCTGGTGATGGGAAGGGCTGTGGGAGGGGTGGAGACTCACCGGTTTGCACTTCTCCTTCACCGTGTCACACAGGTACACCTCACAGTGCAGGTAGACCAGGTCATAGTTCCCAGCAAACCGGAACATCTGCACGGAAAACCGGCTCTGAGGGGATTCCCCGTTCTCCAGCACTTGAATGGTTTGGTCCTCCGTTTGTGGACATCTGGTGGGAAAGCAGGGTATGCAATAGGTTGTGGTAAGTTACATAAAGACTCTAGAGACAGAGTCTGGGGTTAAAACCACACCACCAGTACTTGTTGGCAGTGTGATGGTGTGTGTGTGTGTGTGTGTGTGTGTGTGTGTGTGTGTGTGTGTGTGTGTATGTTGGGGGTGGGTAGCTGCTCCAAGGTACATTACTAGAGCCCATGAGAAAAGAAAGCTATGAAGCTGGGCACTGGTGGCTCATGCCTGTCACCTTAGCTGCTCAGGAGGCTGAGATCTGAGGATCATGGTTTGAAGCCAGTCCCATGAGGAAAGTCCTGGAGACTCTCCAATTAACCATCAAAAAGCTAGAAGTGGAGGTATGTCTCAGGTGGTAGAGTGCCAGTGTTGAG